TTTTTAGGGTTTAAATCACCTCCTGATAAACAGAAACAAGTAAAACAGTATTAATCACTGAAAATAATTTTAAAATACTGCTATCCTAAGGAGCCTTAAATTCCAGATATTGTAAATCAGCAGTCACCTCACAGAGACAGAGTTTAAAAGTCAGGAAAATAAGAATAACTGGCAACATTCATCTGAAGCCATTTTTAGATTAGGAGTCAGGTGCGCTTCTGAAAGAGAAAGAGGTAATGACTTAGATAGGGAGTCCAAGTTCTCTTTTAACTTCAGCTATTCTTGTTTAGCCCATTCAGTTACTCCCAAATGAGAGCAAAACAAACCAAAACATAAGAACATATCTATTTTACTAATCTTTGCAGTAATTGCACATTGAAAAACTAAATGCATCACATTTTCTAATCTACTCACTGAACAAATCTATTGGCCTGCACGGCAAATTAGACATGTAAAGGAAATAAGAGTAAAGGACACGGTGGCAATAGTTATGATCTAACACTGTCCAAAGGCTCACTGTATGACAGGCACAATTGTAATCGCTACTCATGTTTTAACATGTTCAAATTCCACAATAGTATTTTTTTCCTTATACAAATACGAGTGAAGAAGATAAAGGACCCACGTGTTACTAGTAGTTCTGAATTTTCAAACATTTAATTAGAACCAGTGTCCCTACTATTGGACTAAGGAGTTCTTACACTTTTAACATAATTGTATAAAATGCATGTGTGGGATACAGTACAATTGTGTGGACACCAGGCAAACAAAAGTAAGCAGAAAGTAGAAAACAAAAGAAACCTAAGATTCTTTTATCTAGAAGGGTTATGTGTGAGAGGGTGAGGGAGACAGACCAGAATAATGACAGGTTCCTAATGGGCGAAAGACCTTAATTTCAGTTTACTGTAGGTGGCCATAGCTGAGCAAACAGCTCTTGGGCAGAACCACAACTCAGGGGCAAGCAATCATCAGGTACCCCTTTGACCTTATGGTTAGCAGATGAACACAGAAGATAACTTTCCCTACCCTGCCTCTAAAATGTCCCTAACCACTTACACTTCCCACTACTCAGTCCCCACACTAATCTTTCCTCTACCAAATCAGCCCAGGTTAGCCCATCCTCCATGGAATTTCCATAACTCCACTTAAAAAAAGCTTATGACCTTCTTTAAGGGTTTCTATTGCCAACCCAATGTTGAATAAATAAAACACACTTGTTCGGTACGTACAAGGCTGTCGGTCTTTTCTTGGGTACTTCTTTTGAACCCTAACAATGTGCAATACACAAATTTAGAATATACAGATTCACTGCTTAGAAAGGTCTCTGTTCTTTCTCTTAAGAAAGAAAAATGAGTTTATTTAAAGCCTATTTCATATTTATTAGTGGAATGGAAGGCTGCTGCATTGAACTTCAAAAATACTTCATGGATAAACAATGTAACTACTTCTTTGTTTTTAATTTACTATAAAAGTATTTGTGCTTCATAATGATATTAAAACATAATTAACAGATACTTATTTGGAATAAAATTAACAATAATTGAAGTTGCTATTTTTATATGTGTAGTTTGTAATATAGATTGAACGTTTTGAATGGTCTATTGTTATTTATACAAATCACCTTATTATAAGAAATATACAAACAAAATATACCATGCAGCTATACTAATATAGTCAGTCAAACAAACACTTGTCCATACTCAGAGTTTATGCAACTCATCAAATTGTCTATACAATCAGAACAATCATTTAGAACTTTTGAAAATTCACTTGGGAATTTATACCTTCATTATCAAATATAGTTTGGCACTTATCCACTACACAGAGAGAGATACAAATACACAAATAAAAATGAAAAATCTGTGACAACATTATACTAGGAAAACAATTTTCTTTATATCCTCATTCACAGCTCATGTCATTTAACTGCATTCTGTCTTTCATCATCACCTAAAATTTCCCTTTCCTTTTTCTACTAGAAATTATTTGCTAACTGTACTTCAGACATGGGTTAATAACCAGAATTCACAAAGCATTACATAAATTAAGTACCATGGAAATAAACTTCCAATCAAAAGATGGACTAACGAATGGATAATTTTCAAAAAAAGAAGAATCACAAATGACCAATGACTATTTTTTAAATGTGTTCAACATCATTAATCAACAGGAAATGCAAATTAAAGCTAGTTTGACAAACCATGTCACTCAAGTCAGAATAGCTATCATCAGCTTATCCAATAGCAAATGATGGATAGAGTGTAGGGAAAAAAGAAGAAACTTTATTCACTGCTGGTGGGGATACAAATTAATAGAGCCATTATAGAAATCAACTTGGACATTCCTCAAAATGTAAGAGTAAACCTACCATATTACTCAACTATTTCATCCTCGGGCACATGCCCAGAGAATTCCATGATCCACAATAAACATTTCTGTACCTCTATACTTATTGCTGCTTTATTTACTACATCATGAAATCAGAATCTACCGAGTTGTCCATCAGCAAATTAACGGTTAATGAAAATGTGCACATTTTTAAGATGGAGCATTATGCATCTCCAAGGAAAAATGATATAAAAATTTGAAGAAATACAAATGGGTTTAGAATCTGTATTAGTGTCTATCATGTAATGTGTTTTGTAAATATATGTTAGCATGAAACCTAAATACTTTCAATGTATGCTAATATAGTTAGCCACTTAACTTAGATAATTACTTTTCCTGACAAAAATATCTTACAATGATTTGAAGAGAATATATTGAAATGGTATCAAATAATATATAAGTCACACTCATAGCAGGCCTCAAAAGTGATAACTATTTCACTTTGGTATAAAACTTGAGCTAAAATATTACACATTTATTTTATCTCAGAATTCTTTTTATTATTACTTCTCATACTGAAATATTGAGTCTACTTTTCATATAATCAATTACGAAAATCAGTACATCGTGTGGCTCTCTGTTCCTTACTATTACATGGATTTAATGTCTTAAGTATATTTTAAACTTGACCCTTCTTTCTTTTTTCTTTTTTTAAATTTATTTTTAAATTTAAATTTAAATTAGAAACAAGGTTGCTTCACATGTCAATTCCAGGTCCCTCTCTTTTTCCCTCCCCTCCTCCCGTGCCCTCCTAAAAACCATCCCAATATCCCCTCATTTCCTCAGGGAGGGTGAGGCCCTCCAAGGGGGTGTCCATAGTCTGTCATTTCATCCAGGGCAGGGCCTAGACCCTCCCACAAGAGTTCAGCTTACGCCAATACAAACTGACTATTTTAGGTTACACCTTTCCCTAAATAAGTGTAGTTCATTTCCATTTTGTTAAATTGCTTTTAGTTTTCCTTCCTTCCCATTTATCTATTTTCCATTACAATAGGAAAAACTTTTTCCAAAATACAGACTTCATTATCATTCAATGTCAAGTATAAGTCTTAGAAGTGAGTTAAACATATTTCAATATGGCTCCTGTGAACCTATATTTCTTGAGTCCTTTCTAACATGCTCAGTTTTCATTCTTTCTATGCTTTATTCACAGAGTTACTTGAAATTGCCATTCTGATTATTGTCAAATTATCATTCATTCTTGAAGGCAATCTAAGTAGCTAGAAAACCTTGTTTCTTTCTTTGAAACTAATTTAGTAGTTTATATTACAAGATATGTTAAATTTAGATTGTTTACATGTGTTCATTTCTTCCTTGCTTCTTAGAGGCAGGTAACAGAAAATTTATTTTAGCATTGTAACAAAATTCATGAGAAAATACACTTCATATTGTTTAGGGCTTTGAACTCATGTTCATAAAGGTCTTTGATTTACTCAGTGTTTAAAATCAACTTATAAGGTAGTTATTGTAAGTAGATAGCAGTTTCTATATTCAAAAATTGTCTAAGTTATTGTAAATGTTTTTGTTATTCAATAAAATAATGAACTACTAATATACCTTTGTTCTGCTCACTCTTGTGCCTGTAATTCTCATGCCCAATTCTACAAATATAATAAGCAATGACATTCAAATATAGCACTTCAGTGATCATGCGTGTAATGTGTTCTTGGACACTTACTAAAGAAAATGTTCTTTTCAAACCTTTGAACCCAATCCTTATTTTAATTTCCACACTCCGGTATCAAATAAAATATATTTATTAAACATACAGGCATATGAATATGAAGGAAAAATATCACAATCAATTATATGTTCCTAATTATTCAAAAAATATGTGATCATGATTTCTACCCTAAAATTTTCTAAATCATGGTTTCTGTCTAAACCATGATTTAGGATTCAACAATAAAAATGTAAGATGCTGACTTATTTCCTCAGTTGTATAGAATCAATCAGTGAAGTATAGACCTTTGACACAGATTATTGACATATTAAACCAAATGGATATATGTATATGTAAACACAGCTGATTATTTCTTACTTTTGTTCCATACTCATAAGTCAGTTCTCCACTTTCTGTTTAAAAATGACTTAAGAACTACATGGAAGTATTCTTATGCCATCATTGCAGTTAATAGGAGAGTTGACACTCTTCTACCTCCCTCTTTAGCTTGCCAGTTTTTTTTCCTTCTAATTTTTTAAAATTTATTTTTCAGTTTAAATTTAGATAAGAAACGCTTGCCAGTTTTAACACAAACCTATGCCTGATATTTTTCTGCCCTAAATCTTCTTTGTTCATTCCACTTTTCTACATAAAATGTATCCATTAAGTTCTTTTTCAATTCAACCCAGATATATTTTTGTAGAAAATGACTATAATTATGTACATGTCTGGTTTTATAAGACCAAGACCAAGACCAAGTATTGTTTACTTGGTAGGCAGCAGGCAATCCTTTGAAATAAACCAAGGTACAAAAGTGCTTTAGACAATGGAGGTTTTCTCTTTTATTTTCATTTATTTATTTATTTTCCTGAAGTAGTTAAACACTCTGCTTTGGCATCATTTACTTCCCATTCACATTAGGTCACTTACAAATTCTGTTTTGTTACAGGAACTCCACATACTGTATGAAAGTATCCATCTCACTGACAGTAGGAGAAAATGACACTGGATTCTGCTACAATTCCAAGATGAAGTACTTTGAAAAAGCTGAACTGAGCAAAAGCAAGGAAATTTCATGCCGAGACATAGAGGATTTTTTATTACCAACCAGGGAACCTGAAATTCTTTGGTACAAGGTATGGACTTTGGAAGATTTTATTGCCTACAAGTAATTTAATGTGTCTCTTACTCTAGAGAAATCTGGATAAAAGTTTAAATAATGTATAACTGATGTCTTACAGAGTGTCATAACAAATCGTGTTGGTCATTATAGGTTTTAGGAGGTTTTGTTTATTTTTATATTATGCGTGTGAGTGTTGCCTGAATGTATGTCAGTGTATCATGTGCATAAAGAACCTGCAGAAGCAATGAGAGAACATTAGATCCCTAGAACTGGAGTAATAAATAAATGGTTTCGAGTGGCCATGTGAATGTTAGAAATTGAACGTGATCATCTGAAAGAACAGACACTACTCTTAACTGTCTAGCCATTTCTACAGCCCCTTATCAATATAAGTCGTAAAAATCATATGCTTTGATAAATAAAATATTGGTTAATATTAGTACTGTTGTACTACTGTATAGGCTATCATGTTTGTATTTAAATCTTGCTTATATCAACAAATGTTTTACAAGTTTGCAAAATGAAACAGTTTGATCAATCATTTCTGGGCTTAGTATTCCAGCATTCCCCAAGGAAAGAGAGGAAAAATAGTTATTGTCTACTGTGATATAATGGAACCCATAATTTTAATGAGATATTATATTCAACAGTCATAACTTTGACTAAAATATAATCATTTTCATATACAATATCCATATGATAATGCAGATAATATTGCAATAGTAATATTGTCTTAAAAATATCATTGCATTATTTTATTTGACTGTCACATTGCTAATATTCATTTTTAATCTAAAACTGTGTATGGTTTTAAGCTTATTTTTATCACCTAAAAGTAGTTTTGGGTTGCAATATACTCAAAAGTGAATATAGAATCTTTCGGTGTTCACGTGGAATAGTTTTTATCACAGATTAATAAAAAACCTCCAAATTTATCATTTTCTTTGTCTAATTGTTGGGAGTTGGACTTTAAGACACTGGGCCTTAAAAAAAGAAAGAAAAGTAACCAGGCCTAGTATATCCCTGTCAGAATCAGAATGTTAACCCTTGCAATTGATTGCCCACCAATTAGAAAAAAATAATAAAAATAAAACAAGAAACCTGAACAAACTCTAATACATTTCTTCAAAATTAGCAGCATTCTTCTCAAAGTCTTAACTTTGATTCTGGATAACAAGCAATGGAATCTCAGAGCATCAAGGGAACTGTTGAGAGTCATTTTTCAACTATTCCCTTGGTTTTCTGTCCTGAACCATGTCAAACATCACTAAATTATTAGCCCCACAAGTTTTCTTCCTGTGGGAATGAGTTTTGTTGTTTCAATTTTGATAATTGAGTACATCTCATTCATGACATTCAGTCATTTGCCTGTCTTCCCCAGGAAACCTTTAAGAATATGATGACACTAAAGTTTTCTAAAACCACATTTTTTTCTAGCATTTGTGTGTGAACATTCTAGACTCGAAGCTTTTCTTCACAAATAAGTTGATTTTGAGATATATATTTTTCCTTATCATTTGCAGGAAACATCTTAAGTTTTTCTGAAATATGGGAGAAAATATGCACACATGTGTACCTTTCAGTTAAAATTATTTCAATAAATTCAACTTCATTTACGGTTTCCTGGTTAGATGTTATTCATTTAAACAGATTTTCCATCATTGTAATAGTCATTTACACTATAGAAAACATCATAATAGAGTGATGGGCAGAAATGCAGCATATATTATTATTTCATACTTTAATTTTTTCAGTCAAAACTTAACCTCTGCCAGATAAATAATAGACATTAGGAGGCTAATTATAAAATGTATACAATTTTAAATGCCTATGCAACTAATACCATAAAATAATATGCATAATTTGCTTACTAATAGCTGAAAAAATCTATACATAATTTCACAGAGGCACTGATGCACATATATTATGGCCCTTAAAAATTTGACTTGCCAATAAATAGTTTTATCTCTCTATAGTTTCAAAAGTTTAAAGCAATTTTGTACTTATTCTATTAATTTAAATACTAGCATGAGAATAGGGATTTGTGCTTTGGGAAAAACAGAAATCAAATATATCATAATTTGGTATGTCCATTTATAATGAAAATGCATATTGATGATGTGGCAAATTAAGAATCATAATTCATTGATTCTGGGACTGTAATCTAGTGTAGCTCTTAGGAAACCATTATAGATACTTTACAAAATGTTAAAAGTAGAACCTCCATATGACAGAACCATGCCACACTTGGAATTGACCCACATAATCCTATATCCTACCACAAGATGTATATGTATCCATTTAATTGCTACATTTTCACAAAAGTAAAGAAATGTATCAAGTATAGATGTCCATCAAAAATAAATGGATAAAGAAAATTTAATAATGTAATATATATATATATATATAATGGAATTTTGCTCAAGCATAAAGTGAAAAAGCAAATTAAGAAAATAGATCCAAAAAGTATTATATTAAAAGAAGTTACCCAGTCTCAGAAAGAAAAACATCACATTTTATCATATATGCAGATTTTGTGACTTGTTTATGTACATATAATAAGAGTTTGTGAACCTGAGAATGTCATAGAATTTAACAAGAGGGAAGAGGTGTTGCTAAAGCCTACTAAGGTTGCCAAGGTAAGTGAAGCAAGGAGACATGACAGTAAAATAAAGGCTACTAAGCCTGCAAGGGCACAAAGGAACAGGGTGAGAAGAAGAGTATACAAGAAAAACAATAAAAGCAAATTTTGTTTGAAAAATGCCCCAATGAAAACCAACTCTTTGTGTACTAATAGAAAGTCAATAAGCCTTGTATACAAATGTTAACTGTTTCTTCAGTATATAGAGGCTTCATTTTTAATAACTGCAACAGTTATATTTTGATATAGTATTGGAACAGAAATGTTTATCTTATAAAACTATTTCTAACTGTTTATTTAATAATGCATTTAAAATTTTAGGCAATGAATAATAATATAGTCAATTTCACAATAGTCCTTTATGAATTATTTACTTTTAAATTTTATGTTGACTGTGGTTACCATATACCTGTTACTGTATATAACAAATAAAAATGTGTCTATTACCTAAGTACTGTCATTATTAAGTTAATGTGACCATAAAACTACTCTTCAAGGTGATGTTCCTGATTTCCAGATTTGGAAAAAAGAATGTAATTGTTTAGTATTAATTCCAAATCTTTAGCCCCTATAAAATCTTAATGTATAAGTTATTGTTATATATCAGACATTGTACCATATGCATACAAATCCTACCATGAGGCAGGATGGTCATAATTTAAAGGCTAATCTCAGTTACACATCAATTTCAAAGAGAGTTGTTATATAGGAGACCTTGTATGTTTTTTTAATGAAACCAAAATTATTGTTTTAAAGATTAAAATATTTTTTACTTTTCATGTGTACTACCTGATTTTATGATCTTTGTGTAGGAATGTAGAACAAAAACATGGAGACCAAGTATCGTGTTCAAAAGAGATACTTTACTCATAAGAGAAGTTAAAGAAGATGACATTGGAAACTATACCTGTGAATTAAAATATGGCGGCTTTGTTGTGAGAAGAACCACTGAGTTAACTGTTACAGGTAATCACAATCAGTATTTCATTTGCAAGTATGAAACTGTCTTTTGAGTCAGATTCAGGGCTGCATATTGATGTTTTTCAACGTGGGTAATGAAAGAAGCACTCATCCAAATGCTAAGTGGATTCCTATAGGTGAAATTTATTCCTCCTTGTTTTTAAATCATCTTGTGCTGAAATACATTTGAAAGGTTAAATAGAATATGTTTGGGAAATTATACAAATGTTAGCTTTTGAAAGTACTTGAAATAATGAGTTTACAATTTTTGAAGATTATGCTTGTACTTTGGAGTGGAATCATTTTAGAAACAATTTCTAGAGTAATGGAATGGAATACATGAAATCTACCTCTGTATTTATGTCTTGCTGAACATTAGACAAAACATTTTCTGTTTGACATATTTATTATTATACAGATGACGCAGATGATCTCATAAGCTAGGATAAAACAGTTCCAGACATTTAAAAATGTAAGGATCACAGAACCATCCTTATATCGTGTTAATTCAGAAAATAATCAAAATAGTATCAGAGTACTGCTTATTAAAAACAATGTAGAATTCATGAGTCTAACAAGCTTTGTTTGATAAATGTGAGCTCCAGACTGTTAATTTACTAATGTATAAAATGATGAAGATGAAATTTGCCTTATAGGGGATTTGCAAGTATCAAATGAATTAAGGTATGTTCAGCAATTTAGTTATGCAAAGAATTGTATTCATGATCATTTTTTATTTACAACAATAGTCACTTTTTTAAAAGTTTCTCATGGAAGGCAGATAGAATCCAGAACAAAAAATGGGAAATTATAGGTATTTGAATATTTTTTTATATAAAGAGACCCTTGATGATTTTTTGGGGTCATAGTTGTGAAAGCTTTAGAAGTTTATGACATTAATTTCATACCTTCACTAATACTTGTAAAATTGTTTTATTCTATATGAAACAAATATCTGATATGTACAAGTATCCATGCGTCATATAAGAATCCATTTCTTTTAAATCTTGAAGTTTTATATAACTTGACTGAAAACTACATTGTTTCATGGGAATCATTTGCTAAATAGCAATTATTCCAGCAGAAGGAAAATTCTTTACATGAGATGCTCTTTGTCAAAGTCTTCGATAAATATTAGAAACAGTAAACAATGGACACTTGAAATTTATGATAGACTTGAATAGTCAACACACATTTAGTCTCTGATGTGTATATGTGTATATGATTTGCAATCATTTGGTTGTAGTTTGGCTGTGTATAATAGATTATTTACAGAAAAATGCAGAGGAGTACTTTATCACTTTTATTCCCATTGTTTTCAACAGTTCAGTGAAAAATATGCCATTGTACACAATAAATATTGAAAATTTTCTGTTCATTTTTTAGCTTACAAAGCCTACTGAGGCAGCTTTTCTAAACATTAGATGTTTAGAAAACAGAGTTTAAAATATGAATGAAAGTGATATTCTGAATAATGATAATATTCTTGACTTAACTCTTTAGAAAGGAAAATGTATCCATGGTAAACATATCTTTCTTTCTCTAGAAACACTAGGATTTATAAATACAATCCATTATGATGAGGTTAGAAAGTAAACATTGTGTCTTGACTAATTAAAGTAAACTTTCATAAGACCATTGGGTAAGCCTTAGAATAGAACTTTTTACTCTTACATTGTTTTACAATTTTCTATACTTTCTGGATTTGTATTAAACTTCCCATTTTCTTCATATGGAAATATAGAATACTTAAGTCCTGATATTCAAGAGAAAGTTGGTGATTTTGACACAGCTCAATAATACAAAAAAATAGGTCTCACTGTGATAAATCTATGCATTCCTGTATTATGTATTCATCATGAACAAACTCTCTGCTCTTCCACTCTTTAGCTGGTATGCCTTGTTTAGCTGATATCCATGGAGGCTTGCTTTTTTCTTAAGAGAAACAGAGGAGAGTGAATGTGAGAGAGAGTGGAAGTAGGAGGGGGTGGCTAGGAGGAAAGTAGAGAGTGGAAACTGCAATTGGAATGTATTATATGAGAGAAGAATAAAAGAAAAGGGAAAAATTAAACACAAATATATGCAGATATCTCTTTTATATGATAACAGTTTCCTCTCATTTATATGATAACTTGGTTTACTTTGGTCATATACCCAGGAGGGGGATTTCTACCACAGTTTTTGTTTTGTTCTCTTTTGTTTTAGCAACATTTATACTAAATGCTATATGGGTATTTCCCTTTTCTCACATTCAAGCCACAATTTGTTGTCCCTCTTCTTGTCTTACTCATTCTGACTACAGTAAGCTAGCATCTCAGTGTAACTTCAATTTCCATTTCTCTGAGGGCTAAAGGTGTTGAATATCTAAAAGATATTTCTCAGCCATGTGTATTTCCTCTTTGGAGAAGTATATGCACAAATAAAAATATTTCTTACCTTTTTAAATAATTATATAATTTCCCTTTGGCTTTCTTCCCTCTAAGCCATTATTTAGTCTTCCTTCCTCTCTTTCAAAGCTGTGTTCTCATTCTTTATTAATTGTTGTAATGTATATTTTTTAGGCCCTGTGGGATTTAAATTTTCTGTTAAATAATCATTTGTTATTGTAATAACATGCCTTTGTAACTTAATGACCATTCTCATTCTCTTTTAAGTTTTCAATATCCTCTCTTTAGTCTCTATCTTTTAATATTGTAGCTACATATACACAGACATTATATATTATATATAATATATATTGTAATGAGAAGCTTTTTTTTTTGAGAAAAGCTTTCCCGCCAGCCTGGTTCTAGATCCGCATCAGTCCCAAATAAACACCCAGGAGGCTATATTAATTATGAAGCTGTTGGCCTTGCTTGTTTCTTACTGGCTAGCTCTGACTTAAGTAATTACCCCATAATTGTTCATCTAAGTATGTCTCTTACCGGAGAATGGTTCCGGGCTTCCTACCCCCATGGCATTACATCTTGACTTCCTTGTGTTTCTCCTTCCCAGAGTTCTCCTGGACTCCTAGTCCCTCCTATCTAGATTCCCTTTAGGCCACACAGTGCTTTATTGACAAATGCACAGGACTTCCCCAACATCTCCTCTTTTCTGTTTAAACAAAAAGGTCTTAACTTTAACATAGTCAAATTTTATATAACAGAACAGTTATCAAGTAAGAACATAGTTACAATATTTTAGCAAGATTTAAAGAAAATATCATCCATCCCATTCTTGTGATTCCAAAGTTCTATATTTAGCTCATCTTTTATCATAACTAAGGAAAACTATAATTATAACTATCTGTCTTCAACTCCATCAAAGACCACAGAAGGATAATATATAAACACTAGGATTGACAGAGATATCTCACTGCCTGGACAGTCACCTGAAGTTCCTGTGTAGCGTTGGGGCATCCATCTTCAGCCCATAGTCCACAATGTATCCAGAAGATTTCTCAGCAAAGCAGGAAATTTCAAACTGTCCATCTGCATCAGCAGTCTGTTAGTCATTTTTCTGTCCTGCAGAAAGTCTCGTAGACTCTTCCATGAAGCAGGAACCCTGTAAGACTGAGCTTAGCAGTCACTTTCCTGTGGGTCCTGCATGTCCAGTTTATACAGCAACAGTCAGTCTAGGCAAGAGCAGTTTCTTGCCCAAATGGCTAATCTTGCCATGTTGAAAGCAAACTCCATAACGAGTTTCTTCGATGCCCATCTTCCTCTCAGACGTAATTGGTGCTGCCAGGAGCAGACATTTCTCACTGTCAAGAAAAACCCTAAACCATTTTAAATGCCATTTTCTGAAGGTCTTTGAGAGGTTTGAAGACTATCTATCTGGGTTACTTGTTTGGTATCTTGTGAGTAATTTCTACAATAAATACTTAGTTTTACTTTCAGTAATTGTGTGTCGCTTATCGTTACAGCGTCAATTGGAGCTACAATATATCATATATAATATATATATATATATATATATATCAATACAACCTGCTCAGTCTGTATAATATGATTTATATATATGTTTTCAGGGCTAATCATTTGGTATGGGAAAAACAATCGGTGTGCTCAGAAAAACTATTTCTCTTACTCTCAGAATTCCTTAGCTCCCTACAGCTGTTTGTGTAGGGCTTTGGCCTCAAGGGCTTTCTTCCAAAGTCACTAGCATGCCTATTCTTGTTGTCCTTGTCAAAGGTTTATTTTGGCCGCCATGTTGGTGAATCCATGGGTATAGCTCCTGAAATTCCTCTGCCTTCACTACCCTAATGGACTCTTTTTACTCTAGAATCAAAAAGCCAATATAAATTCTTTATTCCTTAAGTTGTTTTTGGTCATAGTATTTTACCACACAAACAGACATTGTAATTCAATAGTTTTGCTGTGTATAATAGTCTGAGTTAGCAGGTAAGTTATTTTCAGACATTTAATACCATTTCTAGGCACTGATGGATTTAACAGTTTCTGTTAAATAACTACTGTTATTCTAATGGACCTGCCTTTTCAAGCGAATGAACTTTTTCTCTTACAGTTTTTAATAACCCTTCTTTATTCTGTATTACTCAGTGTTTTAACTACAAGATGTCTTGGAGAATTACTTTTCTGCTCCTATCTATTTAATGTTCTATATACCGCATACATAAATAGGCGATTCCTTCTCTAGGTTTGAACATTTTTCTTCTATGTAATTAAAAATGTTCTATATATCTATACACCTTTGCTATCTTCTTCTTCACCCATTCCCATGATTTGAAAGTTAAATCTTTACATAATGTCGAAAAACCTCTTTATTCTATTTTTAAAAACTAAGTTTTACCTACTGAATCTCCATACTGATTTCTATAGTGGCTTTACGAGATGGCACTCCCACCAGCAGTGAAGGAGTGTCCCCCTTTCTCCACATCCTCTCCAGCACAAACTGTCATTGGTAGTTTTGATTTTAGCCATTTTGAAGGAGTAAGATGATATCTCAGAGTTGCTTTGATTTGCATTTCCCTAAAGACTAATGATGTTGAGTACTTTCTCAAGTGT